ACTAGATGAGCCACACACGGCCAACTCGGACGGTAACAGCTTCCCGAGTAAATCGGTTCAAATGTCATTTATTTTTACGACTACGATCGATTCTGTGAATGGATCTCATGCCAGGAACGGAAAAGAAAGAAAGAGGTCAAAACAAGATAAAAAAGGGGGTGTAGAGGTAGGCGGAAGACGTTGAGCGGAGTAAGAGGTTGTTAAAGTACAGATAAACGTTATCGATTGCGTTGGCGGGAAACTATAACAGAGTAAATCATCAATAGTGAGTGCAAACGTGATAGTTGGCAGCCGATTCATTGCAGATAGATAGATAGATAGATAGATAGATAGATAGATAGATAGATAGATAGATAGATATGAACAGAATTAGATAGATAGATAGATAGATAGATAGATATGAACAGAAATGAACAGAATTAGATAGATAGATAGATAGATAGATAGATAGATAGATAGATAGATAGATAGATAGATAGATATCAGCAGACTGGCATAGATAGATAGATAGATAGATAGATAGATAGATAGATATGAACAGAATTAGATAGATAGATAGATAGATAGATAGATAGATAGATAGATAGATATAAACAAAAATGAACAGAATTAGATAGATAGATAGATAGATAGATAGATAGATAGATATCAACAGACTGGCATAGATAGATAGATAGATAGATAGATAGATAGATAGATAGATATGAACAGAATTAGATAGATAGATAGATAGATAGATAGATAGATAGATATCAACAGACTGGCATAGATAGATAGATAGATATGAACAGAATTAGATAGATATAAACAGAATTAGATAGATAGATAGATAGATAGATAGATAGATAGATCAAAAGACTTATCTTTCCGAATTCAAGTTTTCGACGATCCACCACTTGTCAGAGCCAGATTGAATTTATTGATTTGTTTCTTACGGCTTATCAACCTTCTGCAGGTTATTTAAAGCCAGAAAATATTTTTAGATAGTAAGAGGGTTTTTTTTTTTGTTTTTTGTTTTTGTTTTTTTTTTTGCAGATAATAACAATTTACCAATACGTACTACTAATTAACCCATAGTGGTATTTACGCAGAAGTGAATATAACGAACAGACTGGAATTAGATCTCTGCCCTCCGATTTTTAATTCCATGGCGTTATTCATTACACCACCTGCATTTTTATGCTTACACATCCTGGGATTCGGAAGTGGCCAGCTATCTATGTTTCTGACTGGTCTTGAGGTTCTTTAAATTCGGTAATTGTACGAAAAGTGGAATCTCAACGTGATATGTCCATAATTGAATTCAGTGACAGATATCATTAATATAAGCTACATAAAAATGCTAATCATTGACTCCCAGCAAATTTCAAACTTCGTCTAAACTGAAAACGTTATAGGGTCTAGACCTTTAAATAAAACGTTACTACATGGCAACATTTAATCTGAAGTTGTATGAATTCATATTTTTATAATTTAATAATGTTACAGTTATAAAAACTTAATTTCTGTAAAATATCTGACGATAACGGAGTCAGCAAATGTTATCAACAATCATATTGTTTAAAATCTGTAAGCACATTTAAATTATCTTAAAATATATGCACATATAATTTTTAATTTATTTGTTTAAACGTCATTTTTAAAGGAATACACATATTTGAGTAGATGGTCTGTTTTTTTTTTATTATTATTATTGAACAGTATATTTATTTATTTACATCTACCGGCCTGAATATCTGAGAAATCTTGTTAAAAACTATGTCGGAGAAGCATATTTTTCTAACAAGATTTTTTGTTCATTATCTTATCATACATAAAACTTAACAAGAAAACATTTCGCTTTCATTGTTTGCCTTGATAAAGTCGGCAAGCACTAAGATTTTTTTTCCATATATATATATATATATATATATATATATATATATATATATATATATATATAATCATAGTAATAATAATAATAATAATAATAATAATAATAATAATGGACTCTCCCGTCGGTTTCGACGTATGAGGATCTGCCAGCTTATTGATTCAGTTATGAAAGTTTATGCGATAATCTTAAGTGGCATTTAAGACCCGCTAGTGATTTACAAAGGAGGCCACATATGGAGCAGGTGGGAGAATTGTGAGATGAGATCACTGTTAGATTGGCTGACCTTTTAGATCTTGCTCTCGCTTCTTGAAGATGATTCAGACAAGCAGATTGAAAATTGCTGAGTCCATTAAAACACGTTGATCTCCATTCTACCCGCTCCAAAGCTAAGCGCTCAAGGGTGTTATGTGGAATATTAACTGCTGACAATATATATATATATATATCTTTATGAATAAAAATGACAATAGGAAAACTAGTAATTGCTGACGCGTTTCGTCCAATGTGGACTTTATCAAAGCAAAATACGAAATGAATTTAACTGAACAAGGTAACTAATAAAAACAAAAACAGAATGTACCTAGCAACTGGAATGTAGAGAAACGCTATTTTCATATTGTTAACTGAAAATAACGTCAGTATTTGTCACGTGTGGAGAATATTGTCATTATATCTGTGTTGATGTATTCAACCATTTTCTTTTGATTTTATGAATCTGTTGTGTACATTTGTTTGTGAGAACAGTAATTTTGTTAATAAAGGTGAAATGGGGAAAAAGCCTGGGCGTAGATATATATAATGTGTCTGTGTGTGATAAAAAAAATTTAGATAAGTTTTGTCTACTTATTCTTAATAGGATCCCGTCATATTTACGAACGAGTTTTTTATTATGCTTAATAAAGAAAAAAATAAAATTGTCATGTTCATGTATATACATTTTATTTCCGAGTACTTTCGGCATTAGCACAGTGCAATCTTCAGGGTCTTGATTTTGATAAAAGAAAATTGCTGTGTTCATCTGAATTTTTTTTACTTGTGAAGTCAAAAACGTTAAATTTATGCGCTACACAAGTTTTTTTTTTATTTTTATGGTGCAAACTTACACGTGCAGTAACATCAAGGGAGGTTATTGAGATATGTAACTATTTTTAAAAAGATATTTAAAGTAATTAGTCATAGCCTAGATATTAAACTATCTACTGTAAACATGTTTAATGAGACGTCTTAATGTGAAAACATGCTGCGAAAATAAACGTAATATATATATATATATATATATATATATATATATATATATAAACAGCTAAACGGCCTGACGATTGCGTCTAGCATGAAACAGCCTGTCGCCTCTGAGTTGACTCCAATGTTCACTTTTATATTTACATACGCTCTATCTCTAATATTGAGCACTTTATCCCATAAATATAGCACACCTTAACACTATATTTCTTCCTATATATATATATATATATATATATATGTGTGTGTGTGTGTGTGTGTGTGTGTGTGTGTGTGTGTGTGTGTGTGTGTGTGTGTGTGTGTGTGTAAAGAATTACTAGATTTCATTTTTATTACTTTGAACATTATTTTTAACAGATATCCATATTGATCAATTTTGGACCTTTTATGTCCGTTTTTTGTTTTATTTTTTGAATTTTTTTGGGTAATAAATTCTAGTTACATTTTGGGTTAATACAGTCTAGAAACATTTTAGGCTAACAAGTTAGAAAGTTTATAAATTATAAACATTTTAATCTAATAAACTACAAATAAATTTTAGGCATTTTAGGCTAATCTACAAAGACGTTGTAATCTTATTAACTACAGATATTTTAACCTAATAAAGAATAAAAAAAGAAACAGTTCTCATGCTAATAAATTGCAAAAAATTATAAAACTATTAAACTATACAAGCATTTTAGGTGAATGAATCTTGTAAGATTTATTTCTTATAAACTTTGAAGATATTTTTTTTGAGAATAGAATTTCAAATTGAGGAAAGAATTGTATATTTTCAAGAAATTCGTTAGTTTGTTATATAAATATTTTTTAATGAAATTAATGGAAGCACCTGTTTTGTAGATCGCATCTTTTTATGTAGAGAAATGGACACATGAAATGTGTGAATGTTATCCAGCTCTGATTAAGACGATAAAGATAATTGACTTCTGTAGTGACAAAGTCATTTTGAATCTTTTATTCTTTACATGCGAATAACCATCATTTAGTCAACCTATACAGCGAAGCAAGTCTGATAGAATTAAAAGTCCTAGCAGGATTCATTATTGTCTGCCGCAATTTTAACAAAAGTATGCATATGACACAGTGTTGATAGCAGACACAGAAAGGAAACTACAAAACCTCCTACAGAAGGAAAGCAAGAAGAAAGGACTAAGTATAAATTACAAGACAGAATACGTGGTCATCGGCAAAAGGGTCAGCTCAAATTGCAAATTACAAATCGGGGATACTAAAATCAAACAAGTACAAAAATTTAAATATCTGGGAAGTGTTCTAATAGAGGACGGGAAATGCGACGCTGAGATCCGAAGACGTATTTGGATATGTAAGTATGCCTTCCAAAAGCTAAGCAAAGTAATAAGACACAGAAAAATTTCGTTAGAAACAACGAAAAGTGTTATGAACTGTTACGGGATGTCTGTCCTCTTGTACGGCGGCGAATGCTGGACAATCTCTTTAAAGATGAAGAACAGATTTGAAGCAACAGAAATATGGTTCTACAGAAAGATGATGAAGATGCCATGGACCGAACATGTGAGCAACGACGAGGTTTTGGAGAGAATAGAAACAAAGAGGAAACTTATACTTAACATCAGGAAGAAGCAGATGAAATTCCCGAGACACGTAATGAGGAAGGAAGTCTTAGAAAATAAGATACTCGCAGGAGTGCGTAACATACTTGATGAGCTTGAGTAAATGGATAGCAAAACAGGGTTTGGGAGAAATAATAAAGAAAAAATGATTAAGAGTTGCAGGGGACAGGAGGATGTGGAGGGCTATGATCACCTACGTTCTGAAGCTACACGTCACGTAAAAGAGCAAAACATCATTAATCAGGCCCAGGGTCGAGGTTTTACGTCGTCAAGTCTTCGGTCGTATCGTCATGTTGTCAGGAAACAGAGCTTCTTGTCGGAATCAGAGTCGCAATCAAATTCTGTTTTACTTTTTATATATGAGAATATTTTTTTAAAATATATAATGACGGTAACAAAGTCGACACTACGCCGACTCAATTTGCTTCGTCAGGCTGTAAAAGAAACGACTGATATAATGCTTGTGTGCAATGATACATATCGAGCATTATTCTTTGTGGCGACTAAACATTCCTTTCTTAATGGTTTTCTATGAATTTCTATCGTAAAATAATTTACAATGCATTTCTTGAATGTGGTAATTTTTTGATAATATCGTCCTGGGAAAACTACCCCCTCCTTCTATCTGGTTGATATTAATTTGTTAACAAAAAAAACAGAAATGTCTGCTAAAACACGTGAACACACTAAATATAACATTTAATAATAATAATAATAATAATAATAATAAAGTTCCTCCTTATTGATATGGCAGTGTATCTTTGAAGATATTTAAAAAGCTGTCAAAATACATGACCTTGAAATAGTAATCTCGAAAATGTGGCATATGGGAACATCAACAATCCCTGTTGTAGTTGGAGCCCTAGAAATGGTTGGAAAAGATTGCAGTAGACTAATTGAAGGGATTCCTGGTAGTCCATGCCTCAAGGAGATACAAAAAATTGTTCTGACAAGTATAGCCCACACTTTACGAAGGGCTTTATGTATGTAATTTTTTTTTTTTTTTTGTCAGTAGAAAGTGTCATGATGCCATTTCTAACCTTAGGTCCCTGGGCGGGACCCGGAAAGAAATGTGTAAACGCCAGAAATCAAAGAAAATAAAAATGATGATAATAATGAATCTATTTATGTGTTTATTTTACAGTTTTTACCCCATTGCAGGACTCAATAGTCACTAAGGGTAGAGAGTTACTGAATGAGGTTGTATGTAGATAAGAGTTGACTCTAGACTTGAAATTATTAAGCTCGTAGTGATAGGAGAAAGTTCATTATCAATATAGAACGAAAGGAATTAGGATGATTCAACACTGCATGCGAGGATTATGGTAGGGACTTGGGTGAAAAGGTCTGAATCAGTGAATCGTCGGTCATTCGAACATCTGTCATGAAAAAAAATAGAAAGAATCGCGAGAAGCTTGCGGCGTTTAGTCTGTGAGAAAGGGGTTATTGAGTTGAAAAAAAGGTAAATTTGAATCAGAAAGCGAGGATTGAATCCAACTCAGACGGTCAGTTGTGATTCTGAACATCTAATCGAAATCTGTCTATCCATCTATCTATCTATCTATCTAAAAAAAAATATCTAAAGAATCATCTATCGAGAATCTTCTATCTATCTATCTTCTTATCTATCTATCCAGAGAAATCTATCCATTATATCTATCTATCTAAAATGTCATCCATCCATCTATCTATCTATCTATCTAGTCTGCTTCGCTATCTATCTAAATATCCATCTATCCATCTTATCTAAATTCATCCATCCATCTATCTAAATCTATCTAGGATTGAGAATCTATCTATCTATCATCTTCTGCTTCATCTATTCATCTATCTATCCATCTAGACATCTATCATCCATCCATCTATCTATTCATCTATCTTCTTTCCATTCATCCATCTATCCATCTATCTATCATCTATGGATCCGATCTATATCTATCTATCTATCTATCTATCTATCTATCTATTCTGCTTCATCTATCTATATCTATCTATCTATATATATATTATATATATATATATATATATGCTGGTCCAGCTATCTATCTATCTATCTATCATCTATCTATCTATCTATCTAAATCTATCTTATCTATCTATCTATCTATCTATCTATCTATCTATCTATCTATCTATCTTCTGCTTCATCTATCTATCTATCTATCTATCTATCTATATATATATATATATATATATATATATATATATATATATATATATATGCTGGTCCAGCTATCTATCTATTATCTATCTATCTATCTATCTATCTATCTATCTATCTATCTATCTATGGTCTGGTCCATCTATCAGATGCATGCTTATATATGAGCACTTAGTCCTGTAGTTAGAATATTCGATTTCAGGCCATGGAATCTGAGTTCGAATTGTTGTATTGTGTTGTTCTGCGACACTTGATCAGTAGTCATCTTATGTCTCTCTCTTTACTATAAACTTTATGTCTCTTCTACATAACATATGCAAATAGGTACACTCCTATTTACCAATCCACTACACCTCCCAAAACCGAAGAGTTTTAACGCCTTTGGTTGTTCTTGTGCTTCTACAAACTCTTTCCTCTTCTTCTCCTTGAGGTTTATGTCATTTTTTTAATGGAGATCCTGGTTTCATCTCATCTTCTTCCGTGTCTGAACCACTCTGGATATTATCCATAGGCTCTTCTTCAATTGCACTATCCTAATCTGAAGAACTCAACCTTTCTTCTCTGCTAAGATCTTCTTCCCTCACAACATCATCCTCTTCATTTCTGAGTCTTAATTGGTCAGAATGGGCTATTAGGTTTTTCCTTTCTTTGATATAATGGCCGTGTTATGTCCCCGTTTGGATGATGAAATTAGCGCTCTCAGGACTTGCTACTTTGTCTTTTTTATGCCGTATCTTTTCATTTGTCGAGTAAGGCATTTTTAATAGAGATCTTATTTGTCTTTGCATTAACGCAGACAAGCTTTGCAATCTGTCTGTGGAATCTTCCTATATCTAAGAAGTATCCTTGGTAAGTAACTATCTATAGAATCGCTACTTAGGGGAAATGCTTTTAATTCCGTTTTTACTGTTTGAACCATTCTTTCCGCAATACCATTAGATTGTGGGCGATAAGGTTGTGTTTTGTAAGGGAAGCTGTCAATCAGTCTCAACCAATTACATAGTTCTTCATCACAAAATTCTTGTGCATTGTCCGACATCATTTCTTTAGGGACCTCATTTCTAGAAAATAGCACCCCTAGCATTTGCTTTACAGTAGTGGTTTCTCTATTCTTAACTTTAACAACTTCCGCCATCCAAAAAGGAGTCTACTAAAATCAGAAATAGTCCTCTGCCATCAATTTGTGCATGGTACATATGAACACTAGACAATGGTTGCGTTTCTTTAGGCCATAAGTGTAGTCTGTCAAAAATTCGGGTAATATGCTTTTCAAGTCCCGTGCTAAGTATCTAATAAAAAATTCCCAAATAGTTATATTTAGGTGTAAATGTACATGCTTAATTCGAAAATAACAAAGAAATTTTGATAAAATCTCCTGTTTTGGAGTAATCGACAATAAATGTTTGAACTCATTTGCGTCGCGGCAGCCATTACTGGCGTTGTTTGCATATATTTGGTGCGGAAAAGCCTTGATTATTGCGCACGCATTGCGTCCTCAGTGGCGCAGTTATTGAGTCAAGTAAGAACCGTAAAAAGGCCGTTAACAAGGTAATCTTCCGCGCAAATCTAATCAGCAGCGAATGTATGCAAACAACGCCAGTAATAGCTACCGTGCCGTAACGCGAATGAGTCCGAAATTTTATTGTCGATAACTTATAAACGGTAGATTTTATCACAATTTCTTTGTTATCTTCGAATTAAGCATGTAAATTTACACCTAAATATAACTATTTGGGAAACTTTTATTACATATTTAGCACGGGGTTTAAAGAGCAAATTACCCCAAAATTCTTTATTTCGGCACATTCTGGTGTGCATATCTTTCTACATCGCATTAATCCCGTGGCCACCATGCTTTCAACTTTAATCTCCTCTGTATAACCCTTATCTTACAATGCACATCATTATGTATATATTTTTAAAATATATCTTCTTAATGTTTCTAATGGTATTATCACCTTTCCGTTGCATATAATACCGTTTTCCATCGTTAATTTATGCCTTATTTATAAGTTCTTTCAGCTTTGGAACAATTACTCCATCTGTCTCTTCTTATTTTTTCAACAATCTTGCTTAATATTGGATCCCGTAGAGTTTCCTATACTAATGTTAGTAGAGATAATATGTCAGTTTCAACGAAATGTAATTTTTTTTTTTCATCCAGGATTTTAGATCCTTATCAAATTATAACCTTGACAGCGCATTGACATGTGATGTTGTTTTTCCTTTTACTTACTCAATATCAAAATCATATGCCATTAATTATATGGCCCACCTTAGAATCCTGGAAGAAGTAACTTTTGGTAGCTCCTTTCTCGATTTAAAAATAAACTCTAGAGGTTTATGGTCCGACTTTAATAGGAACTTCATTTCTAATAAGAATTGTTGAGCTATGTCTGTGCCCCAGGCAATTGCTAATGCCTCTTTTACAATACTTGAATAATTTATTTCTGTTCCCGTCAACCATCTTGGAAGATACATTATCGGATGGCCTTCTTGCGATAAAATTGCTGACACAGATCGCTCACCCGCATCCGTAGTTAACTTAACTTCCTTTCTGGGATCAAAATTTTTTACAATGGATATTTCTATTACTGTTTCCCTGAGAGCTATAATCTCCAACTATTCAAATGTAATGTCAATCGACATCTCCAGTTACCTTGATCTATCCACTATCCTTCTCCTCATCCTTTCTTCTATCAATTCTATCTGCTCTCGCTCCAAATCTTCTGCAAACCCCTGTATCCTAGTCGCTTTCCGCCTTGCTCGGGGCGTAGTGCTTATAAAAAAAATCAAAAAGAAATCTCCGAAATATTCGAACGCTAAGTTTTGCCGTTGAGTTCATTTTAACTCACTATTGTTTTTCCGCAGTTCAGAAAATTGTTTGAGAAGTGGCAGAGAACTATACTTCAGTTTAATCCAAGCCTTGTGAGTGAAGTTGAGTAGAGCAGAAGCGTTCGGAAGCCGTCGTTTCTTGTGCTAGCACGAAATCACAAGTCATCGTGACCGAGAGTTTGGGCATATTGACCGTGTTAAAAAAAAAATCGTTCACGCTAGGTAATGCGCTCTTTCGCAGAAGCTGTAACTAAGATTCACTTAGCATAGTTGCAGTATAAACCACAGGTGGGCTCTGTAGGTTGAGCGGATTTTATATGGATTTGCTAGCCCCACCCCTGGCAGTTGGGTGTGCTTGGAAAACGAGTAGCCTGTCACTAAATTGAAGTCAAATTATAGAAGGATAGACAAGTATGTGCACGTGACAGTGAGAGAGGGAGAGGGAGAGAGAAGTGGGGGGCGAAATATAATTACAGATCCCGCGTACGCGCGAGGGAGAGAGCTTTTCTCTCAGAGTCAAAGGCCAGTATCTGAACCTAGGTTTCTAATCAAACTAGCCCTTCCTAACAGGAAGATTGGCGTAACACAATTTTTCCATCTCTAAATTTAGTAAATATTGAAAAAGATATCCAGTTTAGCAATTTGAGAGAGATAAAATAACACTGACATATATAATGTGTGTGTGTGTGTATATATATATATGTATGTGGGAGGGGGACGAGAGGAGGTAAATTAATTTTTTTTTATTAAATTCTGTTTTATTAAATTTATTAAGAGCTACGAAGAATAGGAAATAGTAGAGAGCCATAATCACCAACGCCCTGAAGAAGAAATCCTAGTACGCGGCACCTTTGGAAAGTGCTTGAAAACCGTACTTCAGGTTAATCCAAGCCTTGTGAGTGAAATTGAGTAGACGGAGCCGTTCGGAAGCCGTCGTTTCTTGTGCTAGCACGAAATCACCAGTCATCGTGACCGAGGGTTTTAGCATATTGGCCTTCTTAAAAAAAATTGTTCACTCTCTCTCGCAGAAACTGTAACTAGAGTCCTCTCAATATAGTTGCAGGATAAACCACAGGTGGATTCTGTGGGTTGAATGGGTTTAATATGACTTTATTAGCCGCTCTGGCAGTTGGGTGTGCTCGGAAACGGGTAACCGGCTATTATATATATATACATGTATCAAAATAACAGTGGGCAGTTGAATGACAAGATGGAAAAACGCGTTTCGTTCCGAGAAGAAACTTCTTCAGACAAATAACATTTTATTGATGAAATCAATGTTATATATCAAAAACGTTTTAGAAAAAAATTAGAACAAACGCCAATTTGCATCTTAATAAATATATTGAAAATGCATTAATTTCGGTATGAAATAAAATGTATATGTTGGCATATTTACGCAAGGTTTGGTTGTCTTGGGTGGCGACTAACTTCGGCTACTCAATTTGCGAGTGGCTATAGTTGGCGCCCGAGTGTATAAAATACGTGGGAACGATAGAAATTGCCAATTTTTAAGCGCCTGATAATTGGTTTATTACTATGTGCAACTTACTTCTTACTATAAGAATACGAAGAAAATGAGGATTTGCGTGTGTTGCATTGCTGGTCTCAGTTGCAAAGGTTAGGGTTATTGGGACCAAGGAATGTTGTCCATCAAAATACAAACCATGGAAATAGCGATAGAGTTACGAGAGACTTACGATGTTTCGTCTGTGGGAAAGGCATTGTAGGTTGGAAAATAATTAATCACCTGCAAGACTTTGTAGACTCTTTTGAGCTTTATCAAAACAGCTAAGGACTGGGCAGCTCCATTCCTGATATAACAGCGATACTTAATTTTCGATCTGAGCTTGTAAAGAGAGAGTATAGCAGAGGGAGTTTGTCTAGGAGTCCCTGCCGTTTTCTTTCTGTGCCTGCTATCAACACTGTGTCACCTACATATCTGATGTTGTTAAAATTGTGTCCGCCAATAATAAATCCCAGTAGAACTTCGAACAAAAAAAATTGACATAAATATTAAGAATGATAAGACGGCAGACATTAAAATCTAATACGCTCTAGTTGTAGTCACGATTTCTATTCATAAAAATTACAACCGTTAAATAATATATAATCTTTTTTATGTAACATGTCCTTTCATGAAGTACGTAATCACGGCTCTCCATAGCTTTCACTCTTTTTTTGGTCTAATTAACTTTTGACTCATTATTATTCAACTGTCTCTTTCTGGTTGCAAGAATACGCTCCATCATTGATACTGCTTGCTTTAAGACTTTCACATTGTTCATCTATGCTG